TAATGGAATTCGTCAGGCGTTCTGTTAAGCCGAAGACCATATTCAATATTATAATGAACCAGATAATAAAAGATGTTAAACGTTTGTAGACTACAAAATGCTACCGCCTCTATAGTGCGTAACACTGGCAATGTATCATTCTGATAACTAATTGTATCATTCGTAACCACTGCTAGAATATTTAATACAGAGGTCACGAAGGAAAAACTTTAAAAGTATTTTGTTTTTAATTAAAATAAATTAATTAAAATTAAACTAAGCATTGTCTTAGGATCTAACCTTGTATTTAAATCAAATACTGTACAACAAAAACTTCATGATAGTCAAGTCGTGAGGCGCAAACAAGGGTTTAAGTAATTATTATATTATTAATAAACAATATCAGTTTTATAATCGACAACAGTTTGAATTTACTCCTTTTTTTAAATCTCATTAAACAACTTAACATACTCTTTTTTAATATTTGTAAAAAAATTAGATGAATGTTCTGACTATATTTCCATCTGTTTAAATGGCAATGAGGCTTCATCGACGGTAACCTAACTGCAGTTGCCAGATTTTCTAATTAATTTCGTCGATAGAACTCGTCGTGAAATTGGGGAAGAATACAAAGTGTTAATATAGGTTGTTATTTTAATTTTATATTATTATGGTATATTTAAGTGTGTAATATACGAATGACTAGGAAGGTAATGAATATTCACGAACTAAATAATCATTCACGAGCTAAATGAGTCATTTGCGCAACTTTCTTCGATTAGGTAATTGTAAATGGAACAAATTATGAGTTAGATGTAGTAAAAAAATTTTCTATCTTAAGGTATGGTAAGTAAAGTTTTTATTTAAAGTAAAATAAATGATTACGACTATCACTGAAGAAGCGACCAGATTATGTGTTTATGTCTTGCAGCTTGTAGACTTGAATCTATTTTGTAGGTTAGAGAGAGGTGATTTTTTTCACTTAAATCCTTACCACAGTTAGAAATCAATCGGTTATCAATCGGACATTTGTTTTCTTTACGTTTATTTTGATATTGACAAAAGATTTAATAATGCAATGTTATGACCCAGTTTAATAATATAGAACAAAATCGGTTTTGTTTTTTATGACTTTTAACTTTTATTTTATATATCTCTATAACATACGTATTTTGGCGGATTCGCTTTTGCCTTCATCTGGAGTATTTCTGAATATAGAATAAGTGAATAATAAAGCAATAATAAAGCAATCGGAACTAACTGATTTCCCTATTATAGAAAGATATATTTTTTAAGAGTTTGAGCTTTGCATTTAACCATTTTAACAAATTGGATTGTCTAAAGTAACAGACATCACGTTTCTGTTCCAAATGTAATGAGGCTCTTTTTCACATCATGCCTGATTCTCCGGTTTAATTAAAAGACGAAGTAAATATTTGTTTATAAAGCTTGTAATCAGAAACTCTTTGATAAAGACTTTAACAGTAAAAGCTAATTTCAAAATAAAAGACTTTTCTGCAATCGAATAATTTACAGATTTGTCCGAGCCTTGACGAATGTCTGCCAGGGTACAACCAATTAAATATGAGAATAATGATTTGAATGGCATTAAAATATATTTGCTGAATTATTTATGTTTTTATTTATTTTGCTGTTCTTTCCGTTGCTAATGTTATCGTAGATGTTATTCACAAAAAATTTATATTCTGCAGCGGATATGCTAGACTTTAGTAAAGTTTCATGCCGGTTTGTTTTCTTTACTTTTCTTCTCTCTACTTTTTTTGGATATTTTTGAAACGATTTTACAAAATGTTTAGAGCCCGTAGAATTTGTCCTAAATACGACAAGTAATGTTCACATCCAGTTTCGACTCCACATCCAGTTATGTGCCTTTTATGTATTTAAACTGCTTTTGTTGCTTGTAATACAAATTCAATCAGTTTTGTGTTTATTTAGTTCACTCGAATAACACAGCTTTCATGCCTCTCCATATATTCGTTTGTGGACCCATGCCTAACGCTCGGCATCCCCACAACCCGGCAATATTATTAACAAAGCATAAGTTCGATACGTTAGAGAGCATGCCAAGTGGTACTAAAATTGTACAAAGCAGCCGTTTTAACGCAGTGTGCTTAACGGTCCTACCGAAGTGGGTGGGAGTCGGGGTAGGATGAGTGTTTCATTTTTTGTGACTTGTTTCAAAACATTACAGATGTGTTTTAATAGTAAATAAAATATCGTTCTAAAGGTCTTAGTAGTCTTCATGTTTATTTTGACTTGTGTATTGTGACAACTTACCTAGAGCAACAGCTTCAGAAATATTAAAAGTTTATTTTTGAAAATGTAAATTTGTTTAATATTTTGCCCTGAACACTTTTTAAAATTCAAATTTGTAACTGAAAAATTTGCGACTGAAAATGGAGTTCCTTTTATTAAGAATCGCATACACAATATTTTGTCCGGTAAAGGTTTGCCAAGGTTCTGAAGCGAACTGAATGAAAAGCGGAAAACTGAATGTTTTTAAAATGTTCAACTGAATTATTTTAGGTTTTATTTATAAATACATATTACTGAAACTCTGTAGTTATTGGTATAACAATATAATTAATAATCATAAGATGGTGATGTTCTTACATAGTAATTTCACATTGAAGCATAACTTCTGTGAACAAAAGTAAAACATAATAAACCGTTTGTGTTTAAATTGTAGTCTCCTTTTGATAAATATTATCCAGAGTTGCAGGTCTTTAAACGGTTACTCAAATCGAGTAAGAGAGATCGTCAATTTCCCGTTCTCCGATGATCTCCATCTTTGCTGCAACAAGTCTGGATATTGCGACTTCCATTAATATTCCTGAAGGCTATTGTTCGTGTTTTGTACATCGCATTTCATAAACTCTGGCAACACTTCATGCTAACTCATACTGTTTTAAGCCATCATCTTCGAAGCAATTTGCAATTTTGCGTTTGTTTGCGGTATTGAACGCATTTCTGACATGAATTGTTATTACAGCCCAGAAATGTTCATCTCCCCTTCTCCACTTTTACTTTTAATTCAATTATGCATTAAGTTAACTGCAATGTCACGTGGAATGTACTATAAGATGCACCATAATATTAACGGATCAGGGACAATAATTTGCTTGGAAAGCCAAGGAACCACGATGTTACTTCTGCATCATGTTATCTTGAAATATAAATAATACCAGATCTAAGCAAATCCAATTACATGTGATATAACATACAGTAAAATCATGATCAGAAATTTTTCTGAGGTCAGTTTTGATATTCCTCCATAGGCTTGATAAATTTATTGATGCAACAGTCGCACCTTAACATTGACAGCAGACAATGTGTACTTGGTCTCTCTTGGTTTAAATTATGTACTTTCCACGAACGAATGTTTTTGAAATCTATGGTAACAAGGATTCTGACTGCAAGTGTTGTAAAGTGAAATTTAGACCAAACCGAAATGGTTAATTCATTTTTTATTTAAGAATTTGTTCATATTTTACTTAAATTTTTATTTTTTGTACGATTAGTAGTAATATTTCGAATAAAGTTGCTTTGTCACAATTCTAAGGTATCCCATCCGCATAAGGATTCCTTCATAGCAAATTCTTTGAGTGGTGCGCTTGTATAAATGGGAAATGTTGGTTTTATAACTTTAGAAAACTTTTTGCACAATAAGTTCAAAACACTTCCTTTTGAAATAAAAATTACGAGTATTTTCTATGATAAAAATAAAAACTTCAGCACGAAATGAGCTCAAGAAAAAAGTAATTCACTTTTAGGCAACTCATGCATTTCTTTAGAGCCTTTGCAATTCATAATGATTTTCAGTCCCTCTCCACATTTTCAAATTATTCCTGTGCTCCACTTTAGGAACTTTATGGTCTTCCATTGCCTGTAATTTGTTGAGCACAACTGAAGTTAAGACCAGAAAGCCTTTAAAGTTGTTCGGTCATCACGACTATAAAGGCTTACTGCTCTTACGAAAAAATTTAGTGATTTTATAAATACTGCTAAAACATTTATTGTGGTTTATTTAATAAATTTTAAGTGATTAAAATTATAGTTTTATTAAAAACTAGATTATTATTACTCATTCGAATATAAGTAGATTTGGCAACTAAAGGTACGTCTAAAATCAAGTTCTGCACTGTTCCTGTAGAATTTTTCTGTAGACCCGAAATTCCATTTTTTGGTTATGGATCATTCAACATTATAAGGATATATGTACTGATCCTAACAAAATCTCCATTTCGTTATCCAGAGTTGCCATCGAAGGTAGTCCTTATTTTATTTGTTATTTTGCTCTGGGAACATAGTTGTGTTAGGGTTGAGGAAGTAAAACCAACTCACTGCGCGTTTTAAGAGCGTTTAAAGTAACGCTCTTAACAATTGTTATCAGGATTGAAGAAATGCAAGTCAATTAAATAGATTTAAAAAAATTTATAAAAAAATTGATAGTTATAAACAATTTCAAGTAAATTTTTGATAGCAGTTTTACTCGTATTTTAATTCGAGCAGCAGTTCTTGAACTGATCTTATTTTGTATAAAAAATCAAGATAAGGAAGGTTTGAAGGCTGCTCTTAGATAGAAATTAATTCTCACTGAGAAGTGAACATTAAAGGAAATTTCTTTTGCTTCCTCTCTTCTTTCCTTAAAGACTTTAGCTTAAGAAAAGTGTAAGTATTTACAATTTAACATTTCGAGCCTAGCAAACAGTGAAACAAAGGAAAAAGGAAAACTATTTTCTTTTTTAAAATTTCCTACTCCACATAAATCCATAAATCCTGATATTTTTTTTCATTGGGATAACTTCACTTCTTAGTGTAAATAAAAAAAATTATAAAATTTTTCTCCATTTCTTCATTTCTATATCGAATGTGTGATTAAAAACTGCTTCAATGATAATGTAAACGTCTATTTTCCAATATGATTTTCTTAGTAACATATGATTTTCTTAGTTGTCAAATACAACTACAAATTTCTTATAAGCATTTTACAACACTTGTATATATGTTACTCGTATATATGTTACTCGTACATCACAGTTAAATACTAGAATTACCAAAAATGGATTTTACGTAAGTACTTAAAAATATCTAATTACTAAGTGTGCAATCCAGAAACATTCGCGTTTTAATATATTATTCTTTGTTATTCCTATCATAAAATAGAAGCAGTTTTGAATACGAGAACTCTTATGAAGATGAGAGTGTTGATGACTTAGATATCGAAGAATATAGGGTTACTGACATTGGCGCAAAATTATTTAATAGTAAACATAAACGTTCAGCAAAAGCGTTCAAAGAAATAAAGGAAATGTGCGGAAGACTACATCTGTATGATTCGATCGTAGCCCGAGCAACATGTCTATATGACAAAGTACGAACAATTTATATTGACTTGTAAAACGAGTATTTTAAGAAAATTAAGAATATTAATCCTTTCAGCTACTATGTGAGAATGAGACATGGGGCATAAATGCTAAACTTACATATTTGTCTATAATATGCCTAGCATGTCGAGTGGAAGATGTGCCGCGTTCCTTTCGTGAAATAGCTGCCATCGGTGATGTATCGCATTTTAAACTGGCTGCAGTGTACAAAAAATTACCTTCTACTTTGAAGGTAAATGTCAATACGCCGAAAGCGATCGATTTTGTTGAACGTATGCTTAGTATGCTAGGTAAGTAATTAAACTTGTATATGCACACTCAAATTAGTAGAAGAAATAATATTTTGAGGTGTACATAAAAAATGTTTAACTGATGCTCGTAAGATTGCCAAAGCGGCACAGATGAAGGCGGAGATTTCAAGCTGTTCCCCCGTTTCCATTGCAGCGGCAGCAATTTATTTGTCAACTAAAGTAAGCAACATTTTGTTTTAAAATATTTGTAACTATAATCTGCTTTTTACAAATAAACAAGTAAATTCTTTTCCCATTTATTTCAAAATAGATGCATGATGAAAAGCTGACGTATAAGAAAATAAGGGATGTCACAGGCATATCAAGCGCAACCATAACTAGAATTGTAAAAATGGATTGCGCCAGTGTAGAGAACGAATGTCGTCAGATATTCGAACTCTAAACTACACTAACACTTTACAAAACTCATGCCTATATATATATATATATATATATATATATATCTAGCACACACAATACATATTCAACACATAAACACATATTCAATATACATACGACACATAATACACATATATCCAATATATATACACTCTTGAACACTATTTTAAACATGCATTCAGTACCACAAGTGTGTATTTATCTAGATCGGTTTAGATGAGCACTGCATCAACAATTGATTTCTTAGCAGCTTTTCTCGAAATGAATTACGTACATCTTCCACTCTACCTCCAACAATTTATAATTAGGTCTAACGACTGTGAATCCCAGTTATTTTTTTTTAAATAATTGTTTTTCGTTTGCAATTTATATAAAAATGTTGCTCGAGTTGCGATCGAATCATGAAATTGCACAATATAACACCCATTATGATTTACACACACACATCTCATATATATATTTAAATACTTGCACAATAAGCGTTCGCCTTTACAAAAAAAAGGATAAAATTATATTCAGTATAAGTTCTGTTGGTTATTCCATTGGAAGCTTGCATTTTGGAACAGACTAACTCTACCTGTCCAATCGAAGAGAACTTATATTTCTTCTGATACAGTTGGTGTACCATCAAATGGACGACGTGTCTCTCATTTCATGTGCGATTTGCCATATATGTGATAATGTAACTATTAACCACAGAAAGATCAATCCTGTCCAATCGAAGAGAACGTATATTTCTTCTGATACAGTTGGTGTACCAACAAATGGACGACGTGTCTCTCATTTCATGTGCGATTTGCCATATATGTGATAATTTAACTATTAACTACAGAAAGATCAATCACTTCCATATGATCATAACGCATCCTCGCTGTCTTGCTGCCTCGCTGCAGAAAGAGCAAAACTAGGCATGACTTCAGGTAAAATCCATTTTAAGCGATTTTCTTATACGAAGCACCTGCATAAATATATATAATAAGTAATTCAGTAAATACTTATAGAAATATATGTTATATACTTATAGAAACAAAGGAAGAAAATTTATTATTCCTCTTAATTTTTCAATACATGTTAAGTCAAATAGAAAAAGCTCACAGAATCCAACAAAATCCAGTAGATGAAAGGAAAAAACCATCAAGTTGTACTGTTGCTTTAGCAGAGTAAATAAACAGTAACGGGAAAAAGCGTGATAAAGTAAAATTTCATATTTTCAGGGATATTTGCCCGACAATAATGATGGCGTGTAGTGTAGCCCACTCTGGTAGGTGCAGGATATGTAGGTGATTTACCTGCACGTGTATGTGCATGCATATATACATATGTATACGGTTTAAGTCCTAGCATGTAGTACCAGGTTAGCTAATGCAAATCGCAGGTTTATTGTGGTTTTTGTACTGATGTGATGTTGTTGCTGTCATAAGGAGGAGCGCTTTTTCGCTTTCTGACTATTACATGGAAAACTGTTAAGGGACGATAGGACGACATGCACTTTGGGACTTATGTATATTTTGTGTGTATGACATTTTCATTTTCATATTCATACATTGCACGGTTATCGTGGGCGTAACACTGTCATAATTCATTTAAAACGTCAGGCATTTGCATAAAAAGTTCATTACGTTGTGGTAATATAGCGTGGCTTTGTGATGATATGGTGATGCGATGCTACGGCGAAGTGACTCTGAATGTATTGAAGCCACAATAATGATACGAATTAAGAAGTACAAAAAAATTGTGTTAACATTTTTTCCTTAATAGACAAGAGTAACTTTGATAGCTTCACCGAATGAAAATACATATCAACGATGAGTTCAATTTTCTTTCTGATAAATTTTCATTGCTCATACGTACTAATTGATTGAATATTATCAATTTATATATTAGCAATTTTATTTTAAAATAAAATCTAGTTGCAATAGATTATCTAATGTTATCTAGTAGCAATACCATAATCAATGAAATAAGAATAAATTTCATTCTTATTCACTTATATTCAATTAATTATATTCAAATGTTCTTGATTTTTAAAAATATATTCAATATATCTTCGTTCTATATGTCACTTGATAAAATATACGTAACTCTTTAGCAGTATTTAGTTATCATGCTGATTAAATGAGTTCATTTATATATTTTATATTTATTTATAAATTTTTATAATGTAAATTTATTGTTGATTTTATAAATGTTAATGTTTATTTATGAATTTTAATTTATTTATTATTTATTTGATTATATACATATGTACATTCTTTTACCATTATTTCTCTTTAAAGTGTTTTATGAAATAAGATCTTTTAATTTTTTTTAGATAGACAATAAGTTCAATTATATCAGAATTCAATATGAGTCCATTGATGAGCATAAAAAAGCTTAAAAAGCTTTTTCACCATGACGTACATATCTTACAAATCTTGTTATAATGGGACTCAACAATAAATAAATTAGGTTTAGTTCGGAATACTATCGAAGTTCTAAAGTAAAACTATTGGTGATAATATTTGAGTATCATATACTGTAACGAACCTTAATAAGTCGCGTTTGAACACAGAAAAGAAAACTAACTTCTGATGTCAGAGAGAGAACTGATGAAAAATCACTTTACTAATACATTTTAGATAAATATGCAGCGCAACGTATACTGCTTTCCGACCGAAACCATGCCATGATGATTATCGAACTCCAGATATGCGAAATATCGAATTATATCGCAGCAAGCCTTACGCAAAACAATCGCACCAAAATTATCACAATAGCTGCAACAACAATATCTCTTTCGGTTAGTGTAAGAGACATATCACATTATGTTGACGTGTTCGATTTTAAGAAGTTTGCAGAGTAGCTCCAAAAAAGTAGCAGCAAAATACACTAAAATGATGAAGGCGTACAGTGGTTTCTCTTGAGAGTACATTTATAGTAGTCCATATCCACAAGCATGCTTTATGTTCTTAGCTTTGATTTAGTTGAAAATCACATATTTTGCATATGTGAATGGCAGGAAACTAAGAAAAATGAAAAGCTTTAATTCGATAAGGAATGATATTTTGAGTGGAGCTACCTAATAAATCAGTCAATGTGTGAAATTTCTGTCATACGTGAAGTGGTATGTTATTAAAAAAAATATTTATTATAATATATAACAAAATTTATATAACGATCTTTAGATAATTTATTAGAGAGCCACATAATAGGCAAAAATGTATATTAAAAATCATACTAGGCGATTCTCTTATAATTGCTGCTATTTCTCAATGACAATAAAAACATTTTTAGATTTACCAAAACTTGATAGTATCCGTACTTGCTATGAAAAACTTTTACTTCAATTTACAGTTTACAAGTATTTAATAAGCCATTTGATGGAATAATTTCGTTTTGTAGCTTACTTTCCAGCTTGACTTCACATCCGATTCATTTTCTTGTAGATACTATTTTCTTGTAGAGCCATTTTACTCGTTATTAACTGCGAGGTTTCCTCATAACCCCTCTCTATGTCTTGACTGGATTGTTGTTTATCACTTCATCAGACTAAGGAATAACTGACCTCAGATCTGTATACCTCCCCGAAGAGCCTGTAACTATTCTGAAATTCGATAACGCGGTGTTAGTAAGTCTATCAGTTTTCGTAAATAATTTCAGGGCTCTATCCTTTATGTATTTTTTGATCCTAATGTACTATGGTACTTTGAAAATTCCTCTCAAAGCCTGGCTTTGTGCAATTTCTAGCTGTCGAATAATACTGTTTACGGCCTGCTGAACGCTACACATCTATATAGAATTGACGGTTGAATTATTTGGTTATACCTATATCAGCTTTCTGTTCTTTGCATTAGGATTTTCATTTTTGAAAAGCGGTTGGAGGTGATGAAGAGTTTTTTCACACGTGATTAAAAAACATTTTGTTATAAATACAATTAAGTTTAATCTTTATCTTTATCTTAATCTTTATCTTTAATCTCTATTAGTTTTTAATCAGTTATTTATTTTCGCTCTTATTTCGTTTGCAACAGGAATATTTTGGGAAAACTTTTACAATATGACGAAGATTCATGAATTCATGCTGCAAACAGAATGTCAAATACATTATGATTATGATCATGTTGAGCACTTGATGGCCAGTTCTGTGATGAATATCAAAGAGTCCACACACTCTAAAGCGTGACTTCAGACAACAGCACAACAGAGAGAAAGATGTTCTGTGAAGAAAAATATAATTTAAACTCTCATTTGAAAAATATGATGCGTTGGAAGAACATTGAATACTTAAAATGAACTCATATGTCAGCACATATATCCTCATTTAAGGTCGAGAAATTATTGTAGAGTTAAAGCTGCACTGCTGTGTATCTCATGCTACCTCCAGTGTAAACGCACAGGCAAAAAACAGTAATAAAAAGTTGATGCAATTGATAAATACCATTTGCACAAAAGAACTCAATTGCAAGAGGTTTCAATTGTCGCCCTTGTAGCATACTAAAGGTACAAAGTAGAACAAATTTTGCACATTCGAACTGGTAAATGCAGTTATTAAGCACAGAATTTGACTATCGTACACCGCCCAGAGGTCTGCACTGACGTTCACGAGACGTTTATGTATGCCACAATTTAAATTTACATCCACGGCAAACCATGGTTCGCACAAACCAATGTTCACCGTATGTGGCCGAGAGGTAACATTGGTCTCAGTTTCCTATTGAGCAGCCAGAAACAACACTAAGGCAGTACACCGTAATAGAATTTATTTTCAACGGAGAGAATTGCGTTCCAACCAACAATCATCATTATGCTTATGACTGTGATATTTAAACCCAGCTTTGCCGATACAGGATGCGTCGGCACAAAGACTAATAAATTTTGCGTTAAAGTCATAAAACCCTTCCACAGCACATATTGGTCGAATGTAACACAGCTCGCGAGCTGCAGGTCCAAGCTGGTCCAAGCTTTGGAACGGACCAATCGTGGCGTTGATATGTTATACTTAAACGGCAAGAGTCCTAAAAAAATTTCTTGAACAATTTTGAGTTGCAATACAAAATTAACAAGTTGCTTCTGCTTCACCAGAAACTGAATTGACATGTTGGGAC